GAAACCATTAAATGGGTACTTATACTTATCAAAAACTTTTTGGCATCCCTATTCAAAATAATATTTTTTAATTAATTTAAAATATATATTTTTTAAATTAATTAAATAATCGGATTTTTTTGAAGACATTTTTGTGTTGTAGATTAAAAAAAGCATAAAATAACTTATAGCAGTAAGCGTAAGATTTTTTTTTGAAAACCAGTTAAATTTATTTGAAAGTTCAAAAACGTTTTTTTAGACCATTAGGTGGTCACATTAATTTTTTCCATATTAAGATTAAAACATATACTGAACTCACCAAACTGTAATATAATTGGTTCCATCACCTTTATACGATTCCATATTTCTTGACTGTCAGGAATAATATTCTGAAAATAGACAAACCGTAAACTACACATTTTTTACTGGTTAAATCAAAACTATAGCGTATACGCTAAACACCTTAAAGCTTATTTATTTGCTGTTGAAATTTTGGCAATTAAAAATATATGAATGCATATGAATGCGTAAGAAAATACTAACATCAAGCATTTAACTTGTTTTTAAAGGTTAAATGTACTTAAAAAGTTTTAAGGAGAAAGAAAGAGTGACAGTGAGGCGACAATAAAATTGATAATAAAATGCACTAAAATCTTCCTTAAAGTAATGTGCCAGTATTTTCAGTGCCTGCAGCATGATTTCATCCTGATGTTCGTCAAAAACAGTAAACTTCTTTTCCTTACCAAAAGCAACAATTTTTTTGTATTCAGCTTCATTTGTTGGTAGACTTTTTTGGGTCAGCTTTTGAAAATGCCAAAATATAGCTTCCTTAGTAAAAATCACAGCCCATTCTTTTCTTATATCAGCAATTGTAGGCGGATTAGTATTAGTTAGAAAATCTCTTTGTGTAGCGTATGTTTCTTCTAACAAATCTATAAACTTGGAATGATCAGAACCAATACTGCAGTATTGGTTCTGATCATCAACATGTTGATGATTATCTTTGAATCACTAACATCACTTTCTACTATTGGTTTCCAGTTCAAAGCAGAGCACCCAGCTTTTCGATTATTTAATTCTTTTAATTTTTTTGCAGGAATGTTGGGCTTAATATAGTCACCCACTCTTTTGCTACCTCTATTCAGATACCAATTTCGATCTTGTAGTTGGCTTACCAATGTAGAAATTTCACCACCCAAAACATTACCATCTTCATCAGTGTCCAAAAATAATTTGGGGTACTTGTTAGCCATTTTTCTTGCTACTTCTCTAAACGCTTTTTTAGAATATCTGTTTTTATATTACGCAAATCGTTTACTACTATATGAATAATTTCTTTTCTTAGGGCTTTTCCTCCGCTACCATTATCGCATTGCGTTAAAATAAACTGTGGTATTTTTGACCAGGTGATATCGAAAAGTTGCCAAGTGTACTCAGTAATAACATTTTCCTTATTATTACTTATCGGGTCGCTTTGGGGCACCTGAACAAATATAATGTTGGATTCCGTGGGAACTTGATTTAATTCGCAAATAAATTCAGAAGTAGTGGGACTAGTAAGTGTAGTATATTTAACAACTTTAACTAAAGTTTCCTGAAAGTCCAAATTCATGCCGCTTGTCATTGTAATGGTTGAGCCATCCGTACTGGTAATACTTTTATTACTAACCGAAGTCAAATCTTCCCTAATTGGCCACCACTGTTCACCTGGCTGAAGGATAACAAGTGTTTCATTTTTTAATTCTACCAGCACTTCATTGTCATTTATTTCAGTTCCGTCACTCTCTAGCACAACAGTGCTACCATTAAGTTTTAATTTGACAGATGCTAAAAAAAATACTATAATCATTTTTGCCGGCCACTACAAACATACCAACACTATACAAAATGCCCCTATAAATAATTTCACTCGACTTATATTTTATGGATTGATTATTATCTGTGGGGTCCAAATAAATTTTAGCATCCTTTACTGTTACCCCCCTCACTAAACCAATCTTCCTGAAAATCATTAAGGCAACTGATGTTTTTTAGTTAATGAATATAACAAATTCTTAAAGTTATGTGAGTGTCTAACACAATTTTTAAAATAACTATGTTTAGATTCAAATCTTAAAGTCCAAAGCTGTCTAAGTGGGCCAAAATTAAGAAAATAATAAACATAATGTAGCAAATAATGATGCTTTGGTTTTAATGGGCAATTTTCGAATAAGTCTGTGCTATATTGAATGTATTTTTTTATCAAAGAACCTAATATTGCAATTGAATCCAAAGTTATTTTCAGGCTCATTGTAAGGGTGCAGATCCGTCTTAAAATTAATATCATTTTCCAATATTTGTTTTTTGATAAACCGGGAATTTTAGAAAAGACTATAAATGGAAAAATATTTAACAAAAACATATTTTGCGAAGCCGCAGTTTTTCGCATTTTTTTAAATTTTGTTATAAAAAAATTAAATTTTCCAAGGGATATATATATCCCCAAAATTTTGTCATTTACCAGTTTATTTAAAATTAGAATTAGATCATATTGTACCACGCCTTCAAACAAATCGTGAGCATGGTGGTAACCCAGGGTTGCATACATAAAAATAATTTAAACCATTTAGAACTGAATTAGACCTTACATCTCTGTAAAAATCCCCTGTATACAGGGTCATATTCTCATGATGTTGACTTTGTATTATCTATAGATAATACAAAGTCAACATCATGAGAATATGACCGAGCAGTTCGATAAACAAACTTTTCTGTATCACTGAACAAGGCATCGTTCTTATAACAAACTCGACAAAAATAATTATTCGTACTAAAATTTTCTAAATAACCGCCTATTTGGTGACTCCCCAAATTATCTCCAACCACCGCCAATAAAGATCCCTTTAGGTTAATTTGGTCATTAATAGATAATCCGGTGTTTTCCAAGATCTTTATGTCATCTTTTATTTTTTTTTTAAATTTTAGAAAACCCAAAAGTTTTTATATCTTTTTCATAGCATAACGCAACCAGTTGAATTTGATCTACTTTTGATCGCTGCCATGGATTAAAATTAGCCAGAGTCATATATATACCTAGGATCTTATGTTTTTTCCGTGCCGAGCCCAAAGGGTTACAAACTTCAAACGCGTCTTGATACAATATAATTTTTAGAGCATTTTTATTTTCTTTCCAAAAATTGTGTGCCCTACAACATTTGCCATCAACTATGTCGCATAACAAATCATGATCTTTTGATGAATGGTCTAATAAACATTGTTCCAAAATTTTTGGGTTTTTTAGGAACGTTTTGATCGTTTCTAATATTGGAATGTAATAGAAAAAGGATGATGTATTATTATTTTCTAAAAAAAATTTAACTCTGGCAACATAGTTATGATTTTCTTTATAGAATTTTTCTCTGCTGATATTTGATTTTAGTAAACCGCTGTTCTTATTATTTGCTTTAAAAAATATGTCTTTTTTTAGCTGAGCCTCTTCAACTTCAAAACCAAATTCTGCCAATTTAGTTTTTAAAAATTTAGAATTTAAATCATTTAGATCACCTAAAGAAGAGATTAAAGGTTGTAGGGCAATTTTTGATAAAAAAAATTTAGCCTCCAATGTTAGATATAAATGGGAGAATAATTTTAATCCTAGTTCTTCCAGATTGTTAAAACTAATTACTGAAGGAAACATTGTTTATTTCATCACTATAATCGTCATCATCTTCTGTATCATTAATAATACTATGAGCATAATTTTTACCGATATTAGAAATATTAGGATTTTGTCGAGGGTTTTTTGCATAAAATAAATTTGCAGGATGGTTTCTAAAAAAATGAGTTCTTAAAACTTTCAGTTCTGTAAAAATGGATTTACATTTACAAATATTAATGAAGGGGCATTTTACATATTCGGATTTTCGTATATGGTTGTAAATATGAATTTTAAATAACTTAAAATTCTGATTTTGAAAGCAATCAGCAGTATAATTGCACTTAAAAGTTAAAATATTAACAGTGTTCTTATTTTGACCAATTTTTACCGGATTTTCAGAATTAAATCTAAAAATATGCATTTTAAAACCTGACAACGATTTAAACTTAAGAAAGCAATGCAAACAATTAAATGTTTTTTTATTAGTACTATATCTATGAAGGTACAAGTGCACATTGTATTTCTTTATTAAGTTAAACGAATGCCCACAAAAAGTACAACGAAACATACCTACCTAATTATTCTTGTTGTTGTCTATTGAGATGGATTAATACACAGGTTCTATTTTACTTTAAATGATAAATTGTCGTACTTACCCTCACAAAAATAATAATCGAATAATATCCTTAATAATTATTAAATAATATCCTTTAAAACACAACTCACAACCACTCAAAACGTACACGATACCTAACACGACTTAAACGGCGACTAAAGAAGCGTGGTTTGGGCGTGCCCGCATCGTGCTCGGTTTTACAGGTATCCGTGATTTCATAGTAATTTAAGTAGCGAATTTAAAGAGTTTTTCCAGCAGTATTACGGGCTCTTGTAATTTTCGGGACTGTCTGTAAAAGTGAAAAGTTTTTGCATTGCATGCATAAATTTTAATGCAAAATTATTGTACCGACTGTAAAAGAGCTGAGATTTTACTTAACTGAGTAATATTGAGGTTAATTTAATAAATATTGTAAATTCTCATTGTGACATTGTAAATTTGCATTAATTATTACAGTTAATACTACTGAAAAATTGACGGACAAATTTAGAGTGCAGCTCCCTTAGGGGCCATTTGCCGACCTATGAAGATTTCTTCCTTTACAGTTAATACTACTGAAAAATTGACAGACAAATTTAGAGTGCAGCTCCCTTAGGGGCCATTTGCCGACCTATGAAGATTTCTTTCTTTATAAACCACGTGTAGAGTATTGCACACTATTTTCGGGACACCCTGTATATCCATTATAAGCAAAGTCCACCGCCCACCCAACCAATCACTTGTCTATGGCAAAGTCGACTAGTTATAATTTTTAATCGATTTTTTTAGATGGAAAAGTCAGTGACAGTTGGGCAGCAAATTTGAAATCTTCCGACTATGAGCTGCTTTGTCCGGATGGTGGAAGAGCATCTGTTGAGGACTACGAAAAATGCAATTTAGTTGAAGCACCACCTCACATGGTCGTTACTGGTAATTCAAAATCTGATTCCGACATCGATGAAATTAGAAATGCTTTAATTTCCGCCAGTAGTTTGTTCGGCGGCAGGCCCGCTTGGTTCAGGCTTTTCGGCGACTTCGACGGCAAGAAGGACTTGCTTTTTAAGGTAAATGTACTAAAAACTATTTATCCTGCATGTATAGTTTTCATTTTAAATGAATGATTTTTTGGATCAAATATTAAGGGTTTTATTTATATTACCTAAAATTAAAGGAAAAAGTTGTTCCACTAAAATTCCTTAAATGAACGATTATTTGTATTTAACAGTTAATGTAGTGTGGACATAATGCCACAAGTATGCCACTTTGCACTTTGCAGTTTTTCTTTATTTAGAACAATTCCACATTTTTCCATTTTCTGCTTTTAAATTTATAATGAAATACCAGTTCCTTTTTAAATAAACATTTTATTATTAAAAACAAACACAAATAATAAAGACAATAAACAAAGCATGGTAACTCGTTCTTATTGGTCGATTCTGATGGTGTGACTCGGATTGTCGGTTCTTATTGGTGGATTCGGAGGATTGTGTTTACATTTAGTCCAGCTTGGATTTAAATAAACTTAATATTTGTGAAGGTTTATTTACCATTGTTAAGTTAATGAGGATATTTCAGTATGTTTCTCTTGCAGAAATAATTTGAAACAGAATAATTCTCTCAAGCTTTGTTCGCACGAAAATCTTGTAATTAAACTAGAATTTATAATTAAGACTTAAGTTTTAAGAGTGTTTATTTATTTTGTAATTTTGTTTTAGAATTCAGCAACTGGTTTAATTTCAATTTCAAAGGAGTCTGAGATCCAGAAGTCCTACTCCAAGATTTTGTCAGTAGTTAATGGATGCAACTAGGGATTATTTATATTTCTTACATGAATAAATACAAAATAAATTTGCTATACTAGGTTCTTGTTAAAAATAAAAATTGAATAACAATTCACATTCCTTGTTTCATTGTTTTTGGAATATTGTTTAGGGTTTTCAATAACGTTCAAATAAAAGTCGGTGTTTATTTATTCAAGTTTTTATTTATGGTACATTTAGATTTTCATAGAAAAATATAACTAAATAATATAAATTATTTGTAAATCGAAATAATTTAATAATTGACTTTTAATTAAATCTAAAACCTACGTTTTAATGAGATCATAGCTCCCACTTTGGCCTAATTAATTTTAATAAAGGTACTGATACAATACTTGAAAAACATAGTTCTTTTTATATTAACATAATAATAATACAGAGTTACATCAAGTAAAGGTCGAAACAATCAAATATTTAAAACATTTGCATCCTGTATACTACATCTATGTTGGGTTTTAGATTTTTCTTTAATAAAATGTTAATTGTCTTTTGGATTTTAAATTCCTTGAAATATTAAACCAATTGTTTTGTTTTTTAAGGGTTGTAATGGTTGCCAAAAATATCTGATTTTTGTTCTTTGTTTTAAACTTTTTAAAACAATGTGTTTGAAACTTGATTTATTTAAAAGTTTTTCTTTTATAATTTTGTTTTAAATATGCCTGCAGAGGCATATGCAGCATGCTTAAAACATAAAATATCAGTCTAGTGTGGGTTATGTAAAATTTGTGTCTACTTATTTGTTTATATAAAAAATGGACATGGACAATAATTAAGAATTCTAAAATATATAAAGTATATGTATATGGTGTATTTTCTTATATTTAAAACTTATTAAATAGGACCGTATAGTTAAAAAAATACTGTTGATGCTTTTTCTAACCTAGGCCTGCAAGTTACAGGCTGCAACTTATACTAAGCATAGAAAAAGTATATATACTATGTATATACTATGTATACTAAGTGCCTCCTTTTATTAAGTTCCTCTATAAGAAATCTATAATATATTCAGGGCCGGCCCGAGGTACGGGCGAACCGGGCAACGGCCCAGAGCGGCATAATGGGGGGCGGCATTTTTACGATTTGTTAATGATAATCAAGAAATATAATAATCAAGAATTAAGAATTACGCTCGAGAAATGCAGTTTAGATAATTTAATATCTTTGTTACAAAGATTTGAAAGTTGCGCTTTCTTTCATTCGTTTCTTCAATCACATCCTGTAGTTTTTTATACTTTTGTTTGACAATTGACAATTAATAATTGACAAATACTATATCACGATTGGGCTTGTAAAATCAGTGCATTGCTAAGGTAGTTTGATAATTAGAAGTATAAAATGTCTGAAAAACGCAAAAAAGATTCAGGAACTTGTTATAAAAACAAAAGAAGGTCGCGTGCGGCGGAAAATCGAGTACTAGCACCAACCTTTTCCAAATTCTTGCAAAAAGAACCATCGTAGGCAGGTATAATAATTATACTATAATTAAACAATATTGCATATATGAAAATGAGGTTTTATTTTTGTTGTGTACATCTAAACATTGTTTTTAGAGGTCTAAAATCAATGATCTGACGTGCATCACAGCAGCCGAATGTTTTGCCAAAGTCCGCTAAACTCATTACGTAATAAAAAAAATGAACCTATAAATATTACCAGTAATGGGTCAAGAAAGTTTCTTAAAGAAACTAAAAAAATTAAATGTTTCATTACGTAATGATTGAGTTAATTTACTTTTAAAGATGATTCACCTGAAGTAAGTTAGTTAAAATGTTCGGGTGCACTCGGTCTGTATACTTTTACATTAAAAATACGATATTTTATATCGCAATTATATATGTAATAATCTGAGCTATTGCGGAATATTGCGAAAGTAAATTTTAACAAACCAAAGAATTCTTCTAATTTAAAAATATCGTTTAATTATACTCACTATAATAGTGACTCTATTTACACTATATAATAATATAGGATATAATCATTGACAAGTGATGCAATTATGTGTATATATTTAACAGTATATTGCCTTACCTAGTAATTTTAAAGCATAAAAACTCTTATAAAAAATTAATAAATTTGAAATGAATAATTACGTTAAACTACTTTTTTTCCTATTTCTGCTGAATAAAATGGAGGCGGCAAAAAACGTCGGGCCGGCCCTGATTATATTGTATACAATTTTTATATTTTTTCTTAAATAAATATAAAAGTAAAAATCAATATAATTAATAAAACTATTCTTAAAAAAGATTGTGTATGCATACAAACATAACAAACAAAATCGCAGGTACGTTCTCTTAGATTCTAAACAACCTATGCAATAAACAGTATCTAATAAAAGAAATTTTTGTCTAATTTTAAGTATGGTGGGTTTTTGTTCAAATATTTACCCAATTTTTAAGATAGCTAGGTATAAATATTTTTGCTTAAGATATAAGACTTTGTATTTAAAAAGTATTTTTTAAATATATTATTATATTTTAACTATATACAGTGATTAAGAATAGTCTAAAAGGAGAAGTAAAATATTTTAAACCTATTTCTGATAGAGTGTGTCTTATGAGGCTAAAAGGCTTAAATAAAGCCATAACAATAATCAATATCCACGCCCCTACTGAAGAAAAAGATGAAGAAATAAAAAATGAATTTTATGAAAGGCTGGAAACGATAATGAATAATATAACAGATGGGGATATAAAAATTATAATGGGGGATGCAAACGCTAAAATTGGAAAAGAGGATATATACAGAAATATAACAGGAGGAGAAAGTAAGCACATGAAAAGTAATGATAATGGGGAAAGATTGATAAGTTTAGCCATAGAAAAGAATATGAAAATTATGAGTACGCATTTTAAAAGAAAAGATATTCACAAAGGCACATGGATGATTCCTGGAAGTTCAAAATCCAACCAAATAGATCATGTCTTAATAGCAGATAAATATTCTAGACAAATAAAAAATTTAAGAACATTCAGCAGAGGCTGATTCTGATCATTTTCTAGTAGCTATAAAATTTAAATACCCAAAACCTATAATTGAAAAAAAACTAAAGAAAAAATATAATATTAGATATAATACTACAAATTTAAAATTTTATTTAAAAAATGCAAATATTACAGGTTTTATACCATTTTAAATATTTTTTAATTAAAATAAATAATAAAAATTTAAAATCGAATAAAATCTGTAATATTTGGATTTTTTAAATAAAATTTTAATTTCTTCGATAAATTATAGTAGATAATAAATTGCACCACTTTAATTTGAATTATCTCAAATAGGGGGGCCTGGAGGCGGGTGAGGCAACAGGAAAAACTAACTTCTTTTCGCAAACTTCAATTTAAATTCTGTTTGCGCCGAACTTGTTTATTTAATGTCATTATAAACTATTATAAATTTGGTGTGGGTCCCATGTCTAATAACTGAGATATTGGTATACATAAAATCCACCAGCCGCAGTTACGCATCACAATTGCTCTGAATTCTGCTACACGCATTGCGTAATTATTAAGTTAATTTACTTTTAAAGATGATTTACTTACTTTAAATATTCACTGAAGTACAGCCAAAATGTCGAAAAAAGGCTATTTTATAAATTGATCATAGTCATTTTTTTAAATGAATCGTTTGGAGCTCATAAAAAAATGCTTAACCCCAACTTTTTAGGAGCCTACTCTTTGCGGATTGAGGTTAAAACTTATTTTTTTTCTTAAAAACAATAATCTTCGTCAACCGAAACCGTTTTTGAAAAGTGCTTTGGTCCAAAGTGTCAAAGTACGAATGCCTTTCATAAATTTTTTGCGAAGCCTTTTTCAATGAAATCAACCACTTCATGTCGTCGTCTTCCACAATAGGAAATGGTTTTAATAAAAATATAAAAAGAAAAGTCAACCTTTAAACACGACAAAATGGGGTTTTGCCAAGCAATGGCGCGCCATGGCGCCTTCTAATCATGATTTAAATACTAACCGCCCGACTATTCACCGGTTGTTTAACTAACTCCTTCACCACGGTTAAGTGAATGGTGCAACGAAGTTTTCTGGATTAGCTTATTTAATCACGGTTAAAATGCTAACCCACGTTGGTGCAAACGGGCATAAGTTTTAGAAAAAAAAATTGTAAATAAAAAATGTAGGAGGTATCGCCCCCTACAATTTATAACATTGGGTCGATGCTTTAGAACAAAAAATTCAAATTCATAAGTGCAGCCAGGCTCTAAAGTACCAAAAAAGCGTTTTACCGATTTTCGACCACAATTTTTTTTTTACTTAAAACTGTAATTAAAAAAGTTGTTTATATTGAAAACACTACAAAATTCATATCAACTTTTTTCACCATAAACCGTTTTCGAGTTATAGCACTACGCGTCGCGACTCGTCGGGTTTTCGGTGAAAGCTCAATAAAAATTCGGAGTTCATTTAAATCAAAAACAGTATATTTTAGAATAAAATTTAAACAAAAAACAACTTATGTCATTGGACGATGCTCTAGTACGAAAAATCAGTATACCTATAGGTGGCGCTAAAATGACGTTTAATTTTTTTTTAACCCCAAACAAATTTTAATGCTGTATTAAAAAAGTTTTTTTTCTTGAAGAAAATTCATAATAAATCGTGCGATATTTCGAGTACTGTATTAAGATTGAACAAAACTTAAGTAAGATTTATGCGCTATAACTGCGGAAAAAAGTTAATATGAATTTTGTATTTTTTAGCCCTTTTCATGAAAATATTATTAAAAAAATTGTTTTCTTCATACCTTGTTCGAAAGTACTTACTTTCGTCCCTAATAGCTGGGACGAAAGTTTAACATTTACTCCCTGTGCTATTAGGGACGAAAGTACGTACTTTCGACCTAGGTAAACTTCAACTTTCGGCCCTTGTAGTGTAATATACTATTTTACCTTAATCCGAAGGGGGTAGGATCCCGCGAAGTTGGGTTTAACATTCATGCTTAAAATGGAATGGTTATGCATTTTTTCCAAAAATGTTTACAGATTGACTGTACAAATCGGTATGTATACTTTTACTTAAATCGGTACCTATATTTATAAAATATGCAAAAAAATAAATAAATAAAATAAAAATAAATGTATGGGGATATCCTATAGGTAGTAATTCATATGTACAAAGGTATAACCTAGTTAAATTAGTTAATGGAATGTAAAATTTATAATTTGTACATTAAAATTCAGTTTATGTCAAACAAATAAACTTGCTTGCTCATTTAATACAATTTAATCTATCAATTTTAGAGCCGTTTCACATGCGACTGATAAAGTCCTGACGATCAGTCCTGATGGTCAGTCCTGATGACTAGGGGCCATTGTTTAAATGAACTTTTTCACATGCACTGCGTATCATCGGTTGACTGATTCGTCGGCACGGGCATCGGGACAGCCCGTGCGCACTGCGTACCGTCAGGACTATTAAGGGCTGTTAATTAGAGCCGTTTCACATGAGACTGATAAAGTCCTGACGATCAGTCCTGATGATCAGTCCTGATGACTAGGGGCCATTGTTTAGAGCCGTTTCACATACGACTGATAAAGTCCTGACGATCAGTCCTGATGGTCAGTCCTGATGACTAGGGGCCATTGTTTAAATGAACTTTTTCACATGCACTGCGTATCATCGGTTGACTGATTCGTCGGCACGGGCATCGGGACAGCCCGTGCTCACTGCGAACCGTCAGGACTATTAAGGGCTGTTAGTTATATGGAGTATTTCATATGGTACGTACGGTCAGCAGAAACAGTGTTGCACAATGAGTAGTTTACGCATTGATACTGAAATTTTAATAAGTAGCATCGAACAGCGAAGATGCATCTCCCTGCCGAAAATGACCCATAGAAACCAATAAGAGAATGAAATGGTTTGTACCAGACTGAATATGTGTATTGGTACCGGTTTTTATTGAGTTCTATATGTCGCCAAACGGTTTTCACCAGATTCAAACCTATAAGACCCAATACATTACAACATAAATTCCCATTGGTTTCTATTGTTATTAAAGGGGCACTTTCGGCAGGGCTGGTATGCAGATGATGAGAAATACAAAAATAGGGATGCAAAGATTTGAAGAAGTAGCGGAAATAGTCCCGGATTTTGAAAATTTTGCGGAAGCAAAAAAGAACTTTTTTGCGTTGTATTATTTTCTTTATACAAAAAGCGGCAACAGCGCAGTTCCGGAGGCGCTGAGAACCGTCTCGTAGTAGACATTTCCGTACTATACGTTGCTTGTGAAACAATGGCCATGACCGTCAGTCCGTATCATCAGGACTGATCGTCAGGACTTTATCAGTCGCATGTGAAACGGCTCTTAAATGAACTTTTTCACATGTCCTGCGTATCATCGGTTGACTGATTCGTCGGCACGGGCATCGGGACAGCCCGTGCGCACTGCGTACCGTCAGGACTATTAAGGGCTGTTAGTTATATGGAGTATTTCATATGGTACGTACGGTCAGCAGAAACAGTGTTGCACAATAAGTAGTTTACGCATTGATACAGAAATTGTAATAAGTAGCATCGAACAGCGAAGATGCATCTGGTATGCAGATGATGAGAACTACAAAAAAGGGATGCAAAGAACAAAGCATTTGAAGAACTAGCGGAAATAGTAGTTCCGGATTTTGAAAATATTGCGGAAGCAAAAAAGAACTTTTAAAATTTTGCGTTGTATTATTCTCTTTATACAAAAAGCGTCAACAGCGCAGTTCTGGAGGCGCTGAGAACCGTCTCGTAGTAGACATTTCCGTACTATACGTTGCTTGTGAAACAATGGCCATGACCGTTAGTCCGTATCATCAGGACTGATCGTCAGGACTTTATCAGTCGCATGTGAAACGGCTCTTATATGGAGTATTTCATATGGTACGTACGGTCAGCAGAAACAGTCAAACCTTCTTTATCTCTGGAAACAGTGTTGCACAATGAGTAGTTTACGCATTGATACTGAAATTGTAATAAATAGCATCGAACAGCGAAGATGCATCTGGTATGCAGATGATGAGAACTACAAAAATAGGGATGCAAAGAACAAAGCATTTGAAAAAGCAGCGTAAATAGTAGTTCCGGATTTTGAAAATTTTGCGAAAGCAAAGAAGAACTTTTTTGCGTTGTAATATCCTCTTAATACAAAAAGCGGCAACAGCGCAGTTCCGGAGGCGCTGAGAACCGTCTCGTAGTAGACATTTCCGTACTATACGTTGCTTGTGAAACAATGGTCATGACCGTCAGTCCGTATCATCAGGACTGATCGTCAGGACTTTATCAGTCGCATGTGAAACGGCTCTTAGATATCAAAAAAAGCAATAAAGCATAACGTCTGACCCGGACTTTCAAAATTTTAAACTTTAAAAATACTTTTTGTCGTAAGTATGCCCATGATCACAAGAAATCTATTTACAAGCACAGTAACTGTTGTTATTTAGTTAGTATACTAACTGAAACTAGTTAGTATACTATAGTATGCTATAGCTGAAACTTTGTCAATCTTATTTATAAATAAGATTGACAAAGTTTCAGCTCAATTGGATAATGTTAATTCTTGCCTTGCCTTAAAGTTAAAAAAACATACTTTTTCGAAATTTTTGGAAAAAATCGCAGGTGTTTTAAACTTCCGGGCAAGAGTTCACTTTTTACAACTGAGCTGAGTCTCATTTTCTAGCCAAATTTTAAATTTTAGGGGAGTGTTCCAGAAGATCTACAAAAAAAGTAAATTAAAAAAGTTGTATTGCAAAAAAATTTGGTCCCAGATCATTTGGCCTTTATCCCAGAGAAACGGTCTTTTCACCCGGAGACCAGAAGATCATTTCGGAAATTCGAAGTCTCCGGGCGAAACCCGATGTGTTGGTTAGATAAAAACGTATTAATAATATTTTATACTTATAATAAGGTTAAAGCAAGAAGACTAAAGAAAGAAGAAATCACTTGCTAGGCAGGGCCACTACGTACTCTGTAGTAACCTACATGCGCAAAAAA